TTTTAAAGAAAAGTTAAATAAAGAAATAAAAAAAAGTATATAAATTTAGATTACTTTGATTAAGAGTTTGAGGTTAAAAGAGAGAGAGAGAGAGAGCTTTAACAGGACTTTATTGCTTTAATTAAGAATCTCAGTAATAAAGTACGTATGACTTGATAAATTCAATTCGAAAGTCTCAAGTCTGCTGCTAACTGGGTACCAGATCGACATGTACGATCATGTGCGTTATTCTGCACTTGTGCACTTAACGGTAAGGATATTCTACGAAACCATAAACTGATCATGTGCAATTAAAACAACACAAATTTAAAGATTATTTGCTTAAGAAGCAATTGATGACTGGCTGGGAAAATTCTTAACTTTATTATTTTTTGTTTGTTATTTTGATTGACAATATAACTGATTTAGTGGAGATACAGTATATGTGTATTTATTAGTATTTAGTTAATATCATCATCATCAGCATCAGTATGTATTATATATAAGTAGATCCTAACGAGTATCAGTGAATGTTATGTAGAGAGGATACGCTGAGGAGCAATCGTGCTAATTGCCATTGAAACTCGAGGGAAATCGAAATTTCCGTAGGTACGCCACACTCAACTATTTCCCAGTTTCACTGCTATACACTATATAGCTACTAACTATACTATGGACTATATACTAAATACTATACTAAAAGGTATTACACTGAAGGAAATTAGTATGTACTTAATACTCTCTTGTTTGCTTTTAACTTTTACTTTATACGTGTAATTATCCCTCGGTAGGATCTATTTATTTTTCGCTACTCTCAGCAATTATCCCACATTGATTGTTGTTGCTTTCTGTTAAAACGTGTGTCTAATACTAAAAGTCTCCTTGTATTTAAATAAATAAATCTATTTTTACCTGATGGAAATTATCGTTCTACTTTAGTTTTTTTTTTTTTTCTTTTTTTTTTCGAGCTGTACCTTAGTCGTAAAATGTCTTTACGATCCTCAGATTATGCAGGTCTACGGTTAAGTTCAGAAGTAGTTGTAAGTTGCACGTATAGTAAGCAGTAAAGGAAAGGTAAGAAAGAAAAATAGCGTATACCCTCCTTATTCACCAGGAACTTTGCGTTTTTTGCTTTCGCTGCTGGTACTATATACCATTATACGACCATGCAACCATGCCAAAATTCTTGGCACCATTTTATGCTTAAAACATTCCTCTAACGGCTTTAACACTTTTACTCGACTCTATTTACTTAAAAATAAATTTTCTCAAATGCATCAACGCTTATTTTAATAAAATAATAAAATTAAAAATTTTTTTAAATTTGTCTATACATCACATATATCACATTAAAGATTCATTTTAACAACACACGTGCAACAAATGATTTTTTAATCTAAAGTAATCTTCGGAACATGGCTCCTGTACTGGTATGGGTTTCAAACTCACAAGATTTTTATCTCATCGTGTGTCTTAACCGTAACGCAAAACTTTAACAATTTCTGATAATCAGTGATTTTTCTTTTTCTACATTTATCGTTCCTACTTTTTTACTCAAAGTTAATTAAAATTAATTAACTTGTATAGCTTACTTAACTTATCATTTATCATTATCACTGACCTTATACAAAATAATTATAATGATTATACCGAATATATATTCAACCAACGTTGTTTGATAATATATACGCTGATAATTTTTGTTTTTAAGTAATTAACAGCATTGAATTTTGAGATGTTAATTAAATAACTTATAAACTATTTAGTTTAAATAATTTTCCAATACTTTGACATTGAATTTTTCATTATCAAAGTGGATAAATTTTTTAAATGAATTAAAATATTTCATAAAAAAAAAAAAAAATACTAAAAATTTATTTTATTTTTTTTTTTAACTTGTTTACTTATTCACACAGTGTGTGACATTTAGGCCAGCGATATATAGATAATAAAGTAAATAAAGTGTACATATGTACGTATAGATATATTGCATATAAAGGTAGTAAATGGACTTGGGTACTCGTAATCAAATTAAGGAATCGTACAGACGGATTCTTAATTAAATTCTTTTATGCTCTGCTCTGCGTTCAGTGTTAACTTATCTCGCTTTAAAAATAGGTCCATCTTCCATCCTCCATCGTACTTGAAAAAACATTGGTATAATACTGAAGGGTTAAATCAGTTTCATCATCAATCATCACCTTTTGAGGCAACAACTGAAATAATATTATTAAAAAGGATTAATTTTAGGTATTTTCAAAAATTGAATCAATTCACATCAAGCAAAAATTTAATATTTAAAGTATACATTATATATATATATATTAAGTAAAGTGCTCACGATACATGTAATGTTGTTGTAAAAGTAGTTTAAGTAATAAAAGAACCGAGAAACATTTAAGTGTGTTTGATCGTACGAATGCACAAGTATACAATTCACCTTAAAGACCATTTTACTTTTATAGTTTACGAGCCATAAAAAAGCTCACCAGAACCCATCATATTGTATAAATTCGACAGATGAGCTATAACAACCTCAATCGTTACAATTCTCGTAGGCTTCATATTACATTAAATTAAATTAAATAATTTAGAACAAAAACTAATATTGGTTTTTTTTTTTTCTTACATAAAAGTTTATTTTATTTAATAATCAGTTTAAAACTTTATTACTCTCCATTAAACTTTTTTTTTTCTTTCACAACCTTTATTAAATTCTAAGAAAAAAAAAAAAAAAATTACAGCAAAAATTAACTTTTAATTTAACACGAATTTATTCTTCCTTGAATTATTTAACATTTCACTTCTCTAAAGTGACTTATTATCATCATTATTAACTTTTTCTTAAAGTATATATTTAATTAGTTAAGAAAAAAAAAATTGTATTCTATTTTAATAATAAATTTGAATACTTAATATTTGAAATTGTTTGCACCAAATTAGCATGTCTTAGTGGACAAAATTGTTGTATATATGTATAAATATAAGCTGTATTTACCGAGCAATTAACCTAGTATAGGACATGCATATGTATGCTCTACAAACAATATATATATTAGAGCTTACTCACCCGACTACTCGGTCCAATAAAATTTTAATCAACTGTCCCGTCAAAGTTTTACTATATTTATTAACTATTTAAATCTTGAGATTCTACAGTAAACTAAGTACAGTATAAATTACTAAATGATACATATTTCAAAATCTATATACTTTTTAATTATCAATAAAAAAAATTTAAATTAAAATCTTAATTAACTGCGGTAATTAAAAGTATTGCCTCACTATCTTTTGGAAGATATTAAAATAATATCAAGAAATGTCGATTAAAACTTAAAAATTGAAAACATACAATTTTAACGTGTAATTTTTCAATCTCTCTATAGAATTATTGATAATTCTAATTACGTTAATTACTTTGAAATTCTCGTCATAAAGTTTTACGTTTAGAGTTGATGTTATTATTAATTAATAATAAAATATATTAAAAAGTAATATACTATATTTTATAATAGTTTATATAGATATATATATATATATATTTGTATTGAAAGTATACAATCTTCATCATCATAAAGGAGCACAAAAATAAAAGCAAGTATATACACAAGATCCTCATTTATATTATATAGGTTGTTTTTTCTGTTTGTTACCGTTAGAACTAAAATAATTGATTTCTTGGTCATTAGATTAATCGTACTATCGTAAGTTACTCGATAAGCAAACTCAGTCTCTTATTTAGTTTTATAATTAGCTTATTAGAGTAGAGTTAGTAGTATATGTTGCTTATACTGCAGAGACAGAGCTTATATATATATATATATATATACACATTTCTGCTCGTTATCATTATATTTTTACTGACTTTGACTTGTTGTTGTTAATGAGGATATATTAATCAAGAAATTAAAAAAAATAAAAAAAAAAAAAAAGAAAGTTACCGAGTTTAAAAATAAATAAATATTCAAAATAACTGCAGAAAAATAATTTCACACTTTAATTCAATTTTCTTTTGTTTAAAAACTTTTTTACGGCTTTTTATATAAGTATAGAGTGAGATTAAAACGTTAAAACTATTTCGATGATTGATAATCTCGGCTATAAAAAAAAAAATATACATATTTTCATTACTTTTTATTTTTAAATTTGATTTGTAAGTTGTTTATTTGCTGGGCGAGTTTTCTCTACCCGCCGGATTGGTTTTTAATCAAAGTTACGATTTGTCGGTCGAAGGTAAAAAAGAAAAAAAATGATAACGTATGCTAGGAGAATATATATTTATATATATATTAGAGAAGCCGTCATTTTTTTTAGATCTTGCTGGTAAAGTGATCCCTTATTGGAGACAGCTGAACCCTTACTAGTGTTAGCATCGTCTATAAATTGAAATAAATTCTACCTATCGATTTATTAACGAAATTTTACACCCATTTTTTTTTTTTTTTTTTTTTTTCATTTTATTTCCTTTTATCCACTATTCTCAATATTCTACAGTTTTTTTTACAAGTTACTCAATCCCGTTCGTAAAAAACTTTAACACAGATAACCGAAGATTATCCTTTAAACGTTGAACGTCATAAAAAAAAAGAAAAGAATAAATTGAATTAGTGACCAAATTGAGAAATTATACACAGTGAATAAATTGATATATATATATATATATATATTTTAATAGCAAAAAAAAAGAAGAAAACATGAAAAAATAAAATTGTTCTAAATTTAGAATAAAAAAGAGGGTAATGTGTTTTAGTAATTAAAGTAATGGTAATAATTATCAAGTATAGACAATGCAAATAAAAATTAATTATTAAAATATTAAAATTAACATCTACTGCCAGAGTAATTTTAATTAAATATACCTAACATATAAATCATATGTATGAACACGTAAAATAGTATGTATTATACACGATAGTTATATATATATATATATAAATATATAATATATTGGTGTTTTCACCGTAGGTAATTTTATCGCTTATTCCACAGTTAATTTATCTAGTGCAGAAGTTGTCATCGCATCATGAAATATCATTACAATCAATCTTTTCTGATTCAGGTGTTTTATACTATGTAAGAGAATAAAAAATAAAAATTCAACTTTGAGAAAAAAAAAATTTTTTTTATTTAAAACAATTAACTTAAATCTCTTAAAAGTAATGTTTACGGTAATAAAATTATTTAATGTTTTTCTAATGCTAAAGTTAACAGTTGATTGATTGATGTTAGTAATATTCTTGGATCTTCAACTAATCCAGCACCGACCATTGCTCCAGTAAAAAGCTGAAACGAAAAATCATATCATTAGTTTTTTTTTTTTTCAACAGACAAAAAAATAATAGCGTTAGCGTACCTGTTGCGTAAGAAGCTCGGCTAATTTTGGATCACTGGTACTTAGATGATTTAATTTTTTAATAATAGGATGATTAACATTTATTTCAAATCTGGGTCTTAATAAACTGTATCTCATGTCATCGCTTAATTTTTGGCTTTGTGTACGAATAAAATGTCTTGCACTAGCCATATCTTGAACGGTAACAACGCAAGGATGATTTTCTAATCGAGTTGTCGTTTTAACTTCAAAGGCTTTTTTTGAAAGGACACTTTTAATGTAACCAACTAGCTTGTCAATCTCCTCTTTATTAATACTTTGAGTTTTTTCCGTCTCAGTGTCCTGGTGCATATCTTTTTCCACTGATGTTAAAAATTTCATATTATACTGACCCAATTGCATCAAAACTAATTCATCGTAAGGCTCATAGCAAAACAAAACTTCTAAGTCACGTTTTTTAAAGGATTCATAGTAAGGTGACTGTTGAGCCAATTCCCGATTAGGCGCTGCAAGATAGTATATGTCCTTTTGATTTTCCTTTAAATTTTGACAGTATTCAGGCAAACTGATAACCTCGCCTGGAGGTTTTGATGAACTTTCAAATCGCAACAATTTAGCAATAGATTCCTTCTCTGATTGTTCATTTGAAGAAACAATTCCCTCTTTTAAAAATAACCCGTAATCATTGTAAAATTCGTTGTACTCTTTCGGCTCTTTTTTTGCTTTATCATAAAGAAATTTAAGAACCTTGCTTGTCAAGACATTGCGTAATTTGGTTATCAGTGCGCTGTTTTGTAATAACTCACGACTTAAATTAAGTGGAATATCTTCAGAGTCGACAACTCCTTTGACAAATCTCAACCATTTTGGCAATAAATTGTCTGCTTTACTCTTAATAAGTACTTTTCGGCTATAAAGAGCCACGCCAACTGAAGTATCACGGCTCATTTCAAAAAGTCCAGGCTTGTCATCAGGAAAATATAATAGTGCACGAATACTCAGAGGGACATCTGTGGTATAGTGAAGAATAAATCGCGGAGCGTCAAACGAGTTTGATATAAATCGATAAAAATCACTGTGCTGCTGAGCAGTTACTTGTTTTGGATCCATCATCCAAAGTGGTTCAATAACATTAATTCGTTTTCCATTTACAAAAATTGGACTACCGACAAAATTACTGTACTTTTTAATAATTGTATTTAAACTCGACTCATCACTAAATTCACGACAGTCTGATTTCAAGTGAATTATGATTTTTGTTCCCGGTTGAACACCTTCCGCTCCATAGATTTCATAAGATCCCGTTCTAAAGTAAAAAGAAAAAAAAAAAAATATTAATGGTTGTAATTTATAATAATAATAATTATTATTTACCCATCGGATGACCAATAAAGTCCTTCAGCATCTTTATTGTACGATTTTGTAAATACTTCAACTTTATCAGCAACCATAAATGCACTGTAAAATCCTACACCAAACTGGCCAATTATTTTAGCAGAATCATTAGACTGTTGTTTATCTTTTAATTCACTGAGAAATGCCTAAAAATGATAAATTATTTGAATAAATATATAAATATATAAATTAGAAAATAAAATAATAATAGTTTACCTTTGAGCCTGAACGCGCAATTGTACCTAAATTAGAAATTAATTCTTCTTTAGTCATTCCAATACCAGTGTCTTGAATTATCAAGGTACGATTTTGCTTATTTGTCGCAATGTGAATTTCTAATTCACGATCTCCACCTTCTTCAGTAGATAAATTTTTACTCAATCTTAAATAGCGCAGCTTTTCTAAAGCATCACTGGCATTTGATATCAATTCGCGTATGAAAACCTTTAATTTTTTAAATAAATTTATATCTTTATTATATCAATAGAATGAATTTATAGGTATAAAAAAAAAAAAGTAACTTACTTCTTTATCGGAGTATAAAGATTTAGCAACGATTTCAAGCAGCATACGAGTTTCAGATTGAAATTCGTGTTTTGCTCCATCACCTAAAAAACGACAATTAGTTAAATTAGTTAAATAAAAATAAAAAAATTATTTTTATTTAAAAAAAAATATATTAACCTGTAGATTTTTCAATGTCTTGTACGATATTATGATAATTTTCTTGAGCTGGATTTTCAGCCGTTTGCGATGACAACAATCGCACATTACAACTGGGAGCTAAAAAACATAACCTCAGTTTATAGTTTTAATAAATTATTTATTTTAAAAACTTAATAAATATTTAAAATTTTTAATTTTTAAAATACGAACCTTGGGCGTTAAAGTATAATTGTGGCTTAATGTACTTAAAAGTTTGATAGTTTTGTAATATTCTTGTAAATTGAGCAGCGTGTCTAAGTCGATTGAATACCGCCATGTTTTTATAGTAATGCTTTTATACTTATATACCAAATATACCATATTATTATTATTATTATTATTACCTTTACACCAATTAAAGCACGTGTAGAACCCGGCCGCAATACACAAACCAATTGATGATCCTCAGTTGATAAAACGAGAAAAACAACAAATATATATATATATATATATATAATAATGAAAATAATATTAATTCAATGATCAACTGTTGGTTAAGAAGAAACAGCGCGCGTATATTCATGATCCTATAGATCCTATTTGTTCCGTAGCTGGAATTCTAGATATCTGAGTTCCTTTTGTAGAACAAAAAATAACTATTTCCTATTCTATCTGTAGTAAGATTTTATTGATTGTATCTATTGAGTTAATCGTTAGATGTCTTAAGCTCCCTGATTTTAAAACTCTCATGCTCACTGTCGAATATTAAAAAAATATAATATAATATGTAAAAGATGCCTAAAATAATATATTAAGTCCTATAATTAAAAATTAATACAAATTAAAGATAAAATGAATGAAATGAATTATTGATAGTCGCAGAGATTATTAATAATGTTAAACAAATTATGAATAAAGGTCAATATATATATATATATATATTGTGTAGAGAGAAGCAATTAAGGGATGACATAAATCCCCTGGTTCAGTACTGCTACTGGTATAGTACTGGTACACTTGCTGTTGATGCTCGTGATGTTGGTTGAATCCGTTAATATCGTGACTACCGTGAATACAAATCAATGAAGAGGTTACGGTTGATCGGCCATTTAATTTCCATTTTCCTCCCGCCTACAATCAACAATACATCACTATATACACCTATATATGTATATTCAACACTATCAGTCCCATTATTGCTGTGGTAAACTGGTAAATCCCCAATCGGCATTAACGCTCGCTCAGCTTACTTAATTAAATATATAATCCTTCATCTGAATCAACCTGACACATATTTTTAAAATTTAAATATTTTTCTATAAAATATATGAAATACGTTATATTTGTCTCATTTATTATAAATAGTAATTAAGACAATACTAAATGAAACAACCATGATCCGAAATATGGCCCCCTGTTTTCTTGTTTTCTTGTTCTCTTGTTCTTATTTATATCATCCCCTTTATAGTCTTGTAAGATTGAGAATTCTTGGATACTTATATATATATATATATATATATATATTATATATTGTCCCTTGTTTTATTTTGGACTATTTTGGTGATTCGGTGTATGTACAACAGATTCGACCTTTATATTTAGCAGAGCGTCTGAGTTGTTATCCTGATCATACTAAAACTTGACAAACCCGACAAACTCCAGGATCGAGGATTGAGAATTGAGGATCGAGAATCGGTGGGTCCCGTCATTGCCAACTAAGTTTATGACCTAGACCAGCGCCCATAAACTACATAAACTCCACAAATGGTAAATGGTAAATCTACCGTAAGATCATCCCACCCGAAAATGATCTATCGTTTGCTGCAATATATTACGATATATATAATATATAATATATATGTGTGCTGTAAATGTGTATATACAGAATATATAAGACCAACTAGGATACACACTGATCCTATGACCAATTATAAATATATAATTTATTTAAAATGATAATTTTATATCGACCATGAATCCAGGATATTTTTCTGTTTATGATTTTGTTATTATTAAATTTTAAATATTAATTTTATTCTTTAAAATTTTCACTACTTCAACTTACCAAATGTATTAATGATCATTTTTAAATCACTTTTACATTAAGAAAAACTTTCTAATGAATGAATAATTCGAATAGATAAAAAATAATCTGGCGATAGTCTTTGTAATTATCTTATAATTACTACTTTGTATGAGCTGCGTATATAGATAAGATTCACGTACAAGTCAAGTGATCAACCAGTGTCATTTCTACCGTCGTACTTATACGCATACATCGTTTATTTGTATTTTAAGTTTATTGACCAAACAAATTATTTATTGAGTAAAAATTGTACAATGAATATAAGAAAATCACTTGTTTTTTTGTTAACCATGGTCTTACTATTTTTAACTGTTGCAGCCAACATAACTGGTAAATATTACTTTTATTTTTGTTTAATTATTATAATTATAATCTACAATTAGAGCTTGATCTTATCAATTATGTTTATCCTTTTGTTATTTAAATTAAGTTATTTTTTCTAATTATAGGTAAATAATTTATTTTTACAGATAATTATGAGAGCGATGATACAATTGTTCGAAAGTCGCTAATAAATAAATTATCAGCTGGTATTATAAGTATTTTTGATGGATTCCAAGGATCACGCCGAAGCAGATGCCGCTGGATTGCTGGTCGTTGTCGTATCCCATTATAAAATTGCAGAATTACAAAATACATGTAGACAATTATTCCAATAAATGTTTTATTAAATTAAATATTAAGAATAATTCAAAGCACTTGTAATAATAATAATAATAATAATAATAACTAAAAATATGAGGAGTAAGGAGTAAAAGTGAATGTAAAAAAATATAATAGCAACGCAACGAGAGAAAAAAAATAACTTGTGTATAAAGATAGTGGGAAAAAATGTTGATGAAAAAAAAAGTAATAATCTCTCTACTCTGCTCTGCTTTGCTCTACTCGGGATCTTTTAAAATCCATCGAAGCAGACCAACCCGCCACGACCGTCTATATATATTTCTACTGTATAAAACTGTACGGATTGTGTCCTGTGTGTCGAGAAAATAAAAGAAGAAAACATTCTTCTCTATCGTGAGATGTATCATCTCTTCGAGATACATAACGTGACGCTTCTGCTCACTTTTTATTATTATCCTCATTTTAATCTTCTGGTACGACCTTTCTCAGTTTAAGAATTGTTTTCAATCATGGATTAATTAATAAAATAAAAATAAAAAACAACTGCTTTGATACAAATAAGTCCATCATTATTTTATTGAGCTTATTATTTTAGATATTTAGGTCATTAAAGTTTATAAATTAATTGATAAATGAAAAATAAATCTGGATGAGGATAAAAATATTATATCATTCAAACGCAAAAAAATATAAATAAAATGAAAAAAAAAAAAAAAAAAAAACTAGTGACGCGAGCCGTCACGCACTAACGCATCAACACTGGCTACCGGTTGAAAAGATTCGACATTCGACGGGATTTAGAGGGCGCGAGAAAGAACGAGAAAAGAGAAACGTGAAACGTGAATCGAGAATGTCGAGTTGGAATGGCAGAGGTAGTGATAGAGATAGAGGCTGAATCGAGAGTAGTGGGTAGTAGAGAATGATAGAATGATAAAATAGGATAGGCAGGCAGGCAAGCAGGCAGGCAGGCAGACAGTCAGACAGTCAGACAGTCAGGCAACCAGGGGGTGTTAAAGCACGAGCTGCCAAGGGAACGGGGAAGGGGGAAAACCCCAGAGAGAGAAGAGGTACAGGATTTTACGCAAGGCTGGCCACGAATGGACGCGTCTCCCGCAGTTCTGCCGCTGACAGCCAGGAATTGGAATTGCATCGGCGTCGCTCGATAGCCACCCATCCAGCTCTCACCAATCCAACTATCCAACTATCTTGCTATCCAACTATCCTACCAGTTTGAGGTTTTACTGGTTATACTGGTGGATTTTAGGCCTCCATGTTACGTATGTTATAGGCCGGTTGCCCGTTTTGCTCCTCTGCTTCCATTTACATTTCTTCTTTCATCATTTCTCTAAATCTTTAGCCAAATCCAACATTCACCTTATACAAATAATCCAAATCCACTTGAGCGTTGATAAAAAAAATATGTATACATAAAAAAAAATCACATCCAGGCAAGTATTAATGGATAGTTTTTATTTTAATCAAAACGAATCTCGTCGTGGATCATTCAGATTTTTGGTATCAACATGTAGACGTTACGATTGGATATAAATCGGACGGCAGATTGATGGGAATGCTTTTGTAGAGAAAGAGTTTCAGCCACCAAATACCGGATACATATACCAATGTATGTATATGTATTTACGAATAAGGAAAAAAAAAAAAAAAAAAAAAAAAAAAAAAACTAGTCACAGAGAAGAATAGAAAAAGCGTTACCGCATTGTTCGTCTCGATGTTTTTCGACGTTCGAGAGATTGGATTTTTTTAATTTTAAAATACAACAGCATATCCATTCTGGCGCCATCACTGCGGTATGGTGTGTCTGCAGGAAACAACCAAGAGCTTTTTTACCCTATATCACATTATATACATACATATATAAACTCGCGCAATAGATATCTATTGTCACTTTTATTTTTTTTTTTTTTTCACCAGTTATGAAACTGATTCGAGGATAAAACTCAGCGGTCTGTCTCCAAATATAAATCTCTGAATACTAGATTGTGGCCACCGGTTTATTTAAAACTACTAAAAAGTCATTCTTTTTTATTATTTTATTATCCTTACAGTATTTTTTTTCTTTTTTTTAATTAGAAAATTTTATCTAGTCTAGTAAATAACAGAAGACCTCATAAATAGAGGATAATGTACCTATATTTATTATATTATAATATTATATAAGGAGTTTACTGTCCCACAAAGTGTGAAAAGTAACAGACGACGTAGCATCATCTAGTAGCTTTCTCGGTTGTTCTGCATGATATACAACTGAACGAGAACAAGAACGAGAACGAGAACGGGGCCAGTTACACGGATCATCTGACAAAGACGATCGATCTACCTTCTGTGTATGTGCATCAACAACGAGAGGCAACGAGAAGCTTCTCAGCACTTGGCAAACTACCGAAGCTCCTTGGCGCATCAAACTATATATATATATATATATATATATATATATATATATATATATATATATATATAATTACTCGTTACTCGCCTCGATTCACCATAAGACGTTATCCTCCTTATCAGTATCCTCATTGGTTAACCATTATCCCCCATCGTTGACCTTTATAAACGTGTCGTTTACTCTAATAATCCCGTTTTACATTTTACATTTAACATTTAACCTTCCTTTAATTAATCTA